GTCCCGAGGGAGGGGACGTTGCGTTGCTCTAACAGAATTACGTTCATACATTACACAGGAAGAACTGGAAGTAGCCATCGGCATCCTCTCTAATATGTCCTGATGTAAAACCTAGAAAGCATATAAGAAAAGCAGAGGAAATGTGCTCATTAAATAAGCATTACCACTAGGTGTTGACAACACATGAAAGGATGCAGGCATTTCGACTGAAAAAAAAAAAACCCACAAATGACTTCCAAAAGATGGGTATCRTGGCTGAAGTTGCCTCCGTGCTTCACACTGTTTAAAGTCCCTGACATTTGTTGCGACTGTCAGCTGGTATTTATTTTTTGTTTAACCATCTGATAACCGCTGCCCTATTAAATGAGCGGATGATCTTTTGATTTCCGTGTGTGTCCACGTCACCCTTGTGCTAACAGATACCCTTTCTGACTATCATCGAAACCCAAGCAGGGAAAGGTTGCAGAGCATTTAGCGTGGCTTTTCTCGGAAGCCAGTAGAATATTTCCATTGAATGCCAAGGGTTTTCAGATAAATCTATCCTGAAAGCCCCTCCTGGCGCTGCAAGGCAGGGGTTAGCAGTTTTCCCCGTTTAATCTCTCTTTTCCTAACCGTCCTTTCCTTGGGCCCGTCACAGAGCCTCGCTGTCCCAGGCAGGATGGGGGTCAGGTCTTTGGCAGCAGGGGCTGTGGTGAAAACCGAGGTCCCGGGGGCTGAGAACCTCAGACCCTGGTGGGGAAAAGCTGCTGGGCTCGCGGCTCTGCCCCGGCGGCCCCCCAGGCCCCGTGGAGCTCCCGGGCCATTTCAGCACCGTGTCCTCGCCCGCCCGGTGCCACCATGGCCACCCCTTCCCAGCAGCCATCTCCCCGTCTCCTTCCTGAAGGAATTCACGGGACAACCTCCTATCCAACCGTGTTTGAGCAGTCAGGAGGCCGAGGTGATAAATACGGTCTTTAGGATTTGGGTAAACAACGTTTTCCTGCTTTGCAAGATCATTTTGTYGTAATTTCCAGCAGCAGAAGTCAGCAGTGAGAGCAGTGGAGAGCTGCTTTTCTGCTTGCCAGCAGGTACCAACACCCGTGTTCCTGCTCGTTTGGGAGATGAGTGTCATTTTCAGGTGCCAGTTTGTTGTGGACCTTCCCGAATCCTCGGAGGAGCGCGCATGGCCGGGAGCCCGGCGCACACCGCTCTGCACCGCGCTAAGGGTYGGGAAAAACAGACAGTGCCGGGAAAGGGGGAAGAGAAAAATAATTCTGCTGGAAAGATTTCTGCTGGAAGTGATAGGGTTGCCATTACATACATGGACAATTTTTAATGCATTTCTTTTGTCTTTAGAAAAATGAAGCTCCAGGAAGCAATCCTTTGTCTTAACAGATTTGTCAGCAGTGACTTCTTGCTCCCATGTTTTGATGCCATTTTCCTGAACTGCCTTTAAAATGGATGATAAATCTTTACATGCCCAGTGTGAGTTCCTGAGACACAAAGCCGTTCTGGAAATAGTCTGTCTGACAGCCTCTTTATTGGCAGAGCAGCTATTTAAATGAGGAACCTGTGCAGGAGATGAACTGGCTGCCCCGCGCGATGGCARGCGGAAGCTGATGGATCCTGCATGTGCAAACAGGTGACCTTTCTGCTTTCCACTCTAATTACTTGCCCATCAGATGTTCAATTAGAGTGACAGGGTCCCAAATTCCCAAAGATCTCTGTTTTGTCTTATAAGATTAAAGGGTGGCGACTATTTTCTGTATGATTATCGTCATTATCTCTGGGAGATTTTATACTTCAGAAGTCAAAGTCATAATAGCCCAGCTCACTGCAATTATTTGCAAATTGCCTTAATGTATTTTCCAGAAACTCTTTTTGCACTGTGTAATTTATTTATTTGCTAAGCCAGTAGCACACTGAAATGCTGAAATGTCTGTGAACCCATATGAAGCCAGCCTGACGTGGTCACTTGCATAGGGTTTGACAGCTTTCCCTTTACCCACCAGTAACCTTGCACAGGTTTTGTTRAAACATTTCCCCTGCATGTTCTCTTTGGAAAAGTAGCTTAAAGAATTCCTCCTTTTTTGTGTGTGTGAAAATTGAAGAAAATTTGTCAGTGTTGCAGTCGCTTTGTATGCTGATGGAAATGTTTGTGAAAACATTACATTTAAACTAGCAGAATGGTGTATTCRGAGGCGCAGAAATAGCCTCTGCGAACAGGCGCTTGCACCGGGGCCTTGCGAAGAGCTGGCCGCGCCGCGCGGGGCGGGCAGGCGTGTGCGGCCGCGCTCGCCGCTCCCTGTCCCAGCCCGGCCCTTCCTGCCAGCGCCGGAGAACTGTTGGGATCCCGGCTCCGTGGCCCCGACAGGGAGCGTGGAAGGAGGAGACAGTGTGTCCTGCATGGGCCSTGCGTGCTCAGTTCAATACGTGCCATTGAAGCTAACCCAGATAGCTTCTAAATACGCTCAGCTAATTGTTTGGGACTAATTTGCAGACCCAGAGTTACATTGTAATAATTGTGAATAATGAGTAAACCATGAAAAAATGGTAAATGCCTTGCAGACATTTTGTGAACAGAAAATGAAGCTAAATTCATTGAATAAATTAATTGCTATGGACTGTTCTCCCAGCTTTAATCTGCTGCCTGCTGAAAGAAGCCCGTATGAATGTGAAAGCCTGTCCACTGTCTTCCTTTTGAAACGATGCTGYTTTGCATTGAACGGAGAGGAGAGGCTTGCAAGGGAGTTTGCTGTGTTATAATAATGTCAGGCTTGTAGCATGCTTTTCAYCTTCCCAGTTTTACCTGTCCTTTGGGAAGCAACAGTTTTATAACACTGTTTTATAAGGAGGAGCAGATGGAGAGCCCACAGGGAGGAGAGGAGATGTTTCCCAAGGCCACTCATTGTCTCTCTGGCAGGATTCAGGTTGGGACTTGGGATTTTGCAGTCCCTGGCTGATGCTCATGATATTTTTCTATTGGAAGACTTCCCCTTCCTGCAAAATCATTCATAGCGGGAGAGGACAACCCTGAGCTGATCTGAGCTGGCTTGAGCAGCCAAAATGAGGCGGGGGAAAAGAAAGAAAAGGAAATGAGGAGRCACGTCTCCCAGGCCATTTTGAAAATCAGTCCTAGTGAGGAGGAATTATATTTTAAGAACCAGACAGTTTGTCTCAGGTTTAATATCTTAGGGACAGCAGTGGAGGCAAGGCATTTTTCTGTAAGGATTATAATTACCTGACAGAGTCTTATCATTATTGAATGACCCTGATTTAGAAATGATCTGTTCGTGTATAAGTAGCTGTTGCTTTTTAATAGCTCAAGTTTTTCATACTGCTATTAATATTAATTAAAATAGACCTCAGGCCTATGACTTTCCGTGGTTGAAATGTGTGGTTTAAAACATAATTTGCAGATCAGCCCTCACATTTGTAAGTTGTTGGTAATAATTTGTATGGATGTTGGGGCAGGAGGTGCTCTGGGGCCCGCGCTCTGTCTGTCTTTGCAGCCTTCTCTTTTCCAGGTGCTCTGGTGCGGTCAGGAGCCCCAGGTCGGGTGCCGTCGCCACGCCACCATGCTGGCGCTGCCGTCCCCGCGCCGCCGTGCTGGCGCTGCCGTCCCCGCGCCGCCGTGCTGGCGCTGCCGTCCCCGCACCGCCGTGCTGGCGCTGCCGTCGCCGTGCCGCCCTGCTGGCGCTGCCGTCGCCGCGCCGTTGTCCCCACCGGTAGCTGTCCTCACCCCAGAGGGTCCTGCCCGTTCCACGTGGCGCGGCTCCATCCGGCAGCTCCGTGCGGAGGGTCCTGCTGGAGAGCTTTGCTGAGCAGGGTGCCGATACTCCGGCTGCCTGGTCGCATCTTCCCCGTTTATCAAAGCAGGATTTTCCCCTCCAGTTGATGAACTTTAGTTGAGCAGAAGGGAAGCCCAAACGTTAACCGTAMGGGAAGAGAAAGGGAGGTGCAGTTCGGGGAAGCAGCCGGAGGGGCCCAAGCTCTTCCCATGCTCCGGGCGRGCGGCTGCTTCGCCTCTACCCAGAGCGTGTGCAGGGCAGAGACGGGGACAGGGACAGGGATGAGGACGGGCCTTTCTGCTTCCCCTCTTGCTGCAGATGGCCCTGTCTGACAAACCCCACGGAATTAGCACTCCTCGAACACCAGTTCCAAATTATTGACCTGGGTATAACGTTAGTTTCTGTTGCTGTTATCGATTCCTGCATTGTCTCCTGTCTGCTCTCTCTCTGCAAAGCGCTTGGTTTGCTGACGGGACTTAGTGTGTGTTTGCAGTCCAATGGCCTCATCCATCCACCCTCGTCCAGCTCTGCTGAGCCCAGAGCTGCCGCACGGACGTGGCGGCCTGGAGCCCTCCCTGCTGCTGTTGGGCTGGTGCCACGTCCTCACCCGGGCTTGAGTCACTGCTGTGGAGGGCTCTTAATTCCCTTGTGCTGTTCAGGATACGAACTGTGAATCCAGCTTCCAGAATTCCCTTGCAGGGACACCTATGTAAATTAAAACAARCGTCTTTTCCTCACATGCCTGAAGCCGTAAAATAGTTTATATACAAATAACAGTCAATCTAAATAAATCAGAATCTTTTTCCGTGCTCAGGAAGGTTACACCTCAAACAGCAATGGCAGCTTCATGTTGTACTCARAATTTTGCAGGCATAATGTCACTCTTTTACTTTATTATAGAATGCAGTTCACCCCATATTGCATTTTCTTCTTTTAATTTATTTGCATGAAGAAGATGGCATGGCATAAATCATCTTGTGTAGGTTGCTTGGATTATTTGCATTTCAGAGGCTGTTTTTAACTTGTATTAGAAAGGAGTTTCCRATCAAGAAGCTCTGGGAGGTGTTTCTGTTAGTGATGGGGCTCTCCAAAGGTGATGGATGGTGTTGGTTTCCTGGAGGACAAACAGCCCCAGGTTGTGCTGAGCTTGAGTGAGGTTGCTGAGCGAGACTGAAGCTCTGGGTGTCAGTGAACGAGTCTCGCTGTGAAGTTTTTGTTGTGCCCTTGCAGCACGAGCAGCAGACGGAGCGATGGCCAGGCCTGACCGGAGACGCGGGCCGAGTTCTGCTCACCGCTGTTCGAGTGAAACCCCTGCAGTGGCCATTGCTGTGCACTCCGATGAAGGTAAGAGCAGAATTTGACCCTGGAAGCTGCCGCTCAATGACCACCTTTCTCCATTGGAGGTGTTTGGGCTTCAGTTGAGCAGAAAAGGGGCTCGTGTCGTGACAAACGAAGGGAGCCTTGGGAGAACTGCTGCCCCTGAAGGCAGGACGAGCCGTGGCTTGGGGCAGCATCCCCAGGCTCAGTTTGCTGCTGCGTTTCACTCRGCTGCTTGGCTAAAGGCATCTGACCCTGGAGGTGTGGGAGGCTTCAGCGAGCCGGCAAGTGACCATTTCCTGCTCAAAAATGTGATGAGCTTACGATACAAGCTGTATCTTAAATCTATCACAGCACGTGGCACACAGTGAACAAAACAGCAGAGTAAAATGTATGTTATTAGTGATGAAATGAGGCTGCACATGGAAGGACCTGTCAAACCTCTGACATATTAAATGCATCGTGTTCCCCTGAGGGAAAGGAAGTAGCCGGAGGGGCAGGACAGCTGAGCTGGGTTTGTTAAATCGTCGCGGCGGAGGTGAGGGTGGTGCTGGCGCGGGGCTGGGCGCGCGGCGGACTGGGCGCGCGGCGGGCGCCTGCGGCAGGGCTGGGCGCCAGTCCTGCTGCTGGACCCCGGCTACGCTCGCCGCTGCTGCCCCGGTTCCAATTGGGGCAGCTGCAGGGATCCCGACCAGCGCTCAGGGCCCAGCAGAAAAGCACTTACGGAGTCCGGGGGTCACCAAAGCAGCATTAATATGCTTACATGTTTAAGCAAGCAAGTCCTGTTTTCCCTCCATGCAAAGGACTGCTTCCGTGGACTTTTCTTCTTGAAAAAGGCCCTTGGGATTTGCCACTCTTTTAGCATTAGAGCGTATGTGTTTCAGCTTTCCCTAAATCTGATTCTGACTTGCTGGTGCTGGAATAATGATTTCTCATATCAGTGTTTTGTCTGTGCCTTTTTTTTCTCTCTGTTGGCCCTACAGACATCCAACTTCCTAGAATATCTTTTTCYATTTTTTTTATGCTGGCTACTTTCATCTCCTAATTCCCACTGCGGGCCCCCTCCGTAGACGAGCTGTGCACTGGCACCAGCAGCGCTCGKCTCCCCTGCGGAAGCTTTCTCACTTCATTGCCTTGTTGCTGGTCCCCAGGGACTGGGAATTGCAGGGGAAATTGGCAGATCTAATTTGATCTCTRTTTTGTCAAATGGATTCTTAAGTGTGTGAAGATTTATCCACTCTCTGCCTGTTACAAAATTCCTTCACATTAAAGGGGACTTTTTGGTAAATGAAGGGGAAAATATTGAATAAAACAATCATTTGCATTCTAAAGAATTTGGAGTTGGGAAGCATACTAACCAGGTTAGCAGCTTTGCCAGGAATCAGACTTACAAGAAAGTGGATTTAGAAGCCAGCAGAAAAAGTGCCATCTTCTAAGCGGTCAGTTCAGTAACCCCGGTGTGACTGCTGCCCGGTAAAATGTGAATCCTGCTTTTCCGCAGGTTTCCAGAGACCAGTCCTTGTCAGGGTGTTGCTTCGTGTGAGAGGCTGAGACCTAAGGCTTCCTAGTGGCTGCGGCAGAGCCCAGCTCAGCCCCACTCCCCTGGTACTTCCTCCTGTTACTCCTGCTTGAGGATATCAAGATGATCTAGCAAAAGAAATGGGTCTATTCATTTATTGCTGACCATTGTGATTCTGTTTTGTAAAGAAAAAATGGAAATCGTTAAAACTAAATCTTTTCATTCAATATTTGTATAAGGCCTTTAGAAGCATCAGCAGAGGAGGGAGAGTCTTGGTTTAAGCTAGGGCAGGTCTGTTCCGCTGGGAGCCATGGAGCTTACTCAGCAGTATCCGAATGCAGTGGCCRTTTTTTGGACAGCAGCTTAAGGCTCTGAATATAAATCATTGCCGGGAGGACTGAGCTGGGTTTCTGGCACCACCAGTTACCCCAGTGAAGTCTCCAACAGCCACTCAGGAGGGTATCACAAAGGAACAGCTCTGCATGGCTGCTCAGGCTGAATTACATGGGCTTCTATAGACCCACTTTAATTCTGCTGCTAGATAAATATATTGTACATCCTATGTTTTATATGTATATTGTATGTATTACAAAAAATATATATAAACTATCTAGTTTCTACTGAGTTTTGGATTAATTTTTTGAGGAATATTTAATCCTAATTTATGGATAAAGGAATGTTACAGTGGCCACTTTAAAGGCATCTGAGAGTCACGGTGAGCTCTGCTGTAGTAACCGCAGGAGGGATTCACCGAGGAGGATGGAGCTTCTCCTTTCGTGCTGCAGATCTCCACGATGTTTGCGGGCGATATTGAACCTTCCTCCGCGGTGCCGAGAGCCAAGGATGCTGCCTGGACAACAGAGAGGTAAGAAGCATGTTGAAAGGCCCCAAATTAAGTATGAGCTGAGTGGCAACAGGAGCAAAGGGATGTTTTTCMCCTCCCCAGAGCTAGGCAATAATTTCGGACACAGATTGCTGATTCCCCACAGTTTGTCTCTCTCTTGTAAATGAAATACAGGGTATACATGAAAGTCTCCATGGAACAGGATATACATGGAAGGCTGAATCAACTTTTCTAGTCACAGAAATACTTTTKAGGGTAACAGTTGACCGGGGATTTGTTTCTAGACCTAATGAAGCTGCTGGTCGCTGAAAGACCGCTCCTAGTCTTCTGTGACCAGAACTTCTGCAGGCAAGACCGTGTCATTTAACTGCTAATTCGCACTCAGGCATCAAAGGAGCCTTTTCTGCAGTCCTGCTGCTTCGCCAGATGTTCTCTGTCTTGTATCTGCACATTCAATTCTTCCTTCAYAAGCATAATTCTTTGTAACCCTCTTTACTGGATTTCATCTTGTTGATTTCAGACCACTTGTGCAGTTGTCAAAACCATTTTGAATTCTGATCCTCTTCTCCAGAAAGGCTGGCAACCCCTCCCAGCTTGCAGCCGTCCGCAAATTGTGTTAGTGCTTTCCCTATTCCAGTATCCGAGTCTGAACAGGGAGCGCAGTGTGAGCCTCCACGTCAGCTGGCCCCTCAGCTTCACAGGCGACACTAATAACTGCTCTTTGACTGGTGATTTCCAGCACATTTCAACTGATTTGCATTAATTTCATTTAGCCTGTGCCCTTCCAGTTTGGCTTACGAGACTGGTGCATGGAATTGTGTCTGAACCCTTGTTGACAGAGCCTGTCCTTCCTTAGTGATGTAGGACTTCTCCTTCGCCGCCCCTTCCCTCCCTTGTGCTCACATCTCTCCCCTCCCACAAGTCCTCATTAAGGTTGATGTATTTTTTTTTCATTCTAGGGACATTTTTAAGCTTACATTGGCCATTTTTTTCTCGGGCCAGCATCTTGTCCTCTAGATGATGACAACTTGACTGATGAATAAGAGATTCCAGTATCTTTGTAGCCGTTGGAGAGAGCTGTACTTTCTGCATTCATCCTTTAAGACAGAAGCAGTCTTTGTCCCACTGGAGCTGGTTCTTAAGCACCAAGTCTTTCTACACTATTGAAAATCTCTGTTGAGTTATTCCTCACTGTTTCTTGTTGTATAAGCCATTTACGTTGCATTAATGCACAATTAGGAGGGCAGTACTGCAGGTGCTGCAGAATCCTGCAATATTCCCCACTCTGGAAAACTTCTGCATTAAATAGACAAGTCAGTTGACTGAAAAGGCTGCAAATGGACTCACAGCGGGAGTAAGTGACTTACCGAGGGCGAGGTGTAGATCAGTGGCATAATGGCACAAACAGTCTCCAATCCCCAGAATAAAACTTCACCATTGCTCTGGTAGCATTTTTTTAATGGACTACAGAAAATAGATAAAAACGGAATTGGTTCCTTGAAAACATTCCAGATTGAGGAATAGCTTGCAATTTCATCATTTCAAAGATGATTTTTTTATTGATATTCATTAAAATCCCAATAAGAACTCTGAAACCTGAACTTTTTTCACTTACTCTGTATTTATACTTCCAGTGTGGAAGGCAGCTATCAATATACTTGCCTCATAATGTTAGAAAACAAATAGTTGCAGAAAGCTGAATTTCATCTCCTCCCATAACTGTGGATACAAGCCACGGTGGTTATGAATCACTTTCCATTGATAGCAGGGATTTATTTGTCCATTTGTTTTACCGGAGTGTCTGCTGTAATTGAAGTCCTTGATTTATGTTCTGCAGGAGGGAGCGCTGGAGAAATCTGYTCCTGCAGCAACCAGGAAGCTGTGGAGGGCCCGGGGTTGTCCGTCATGCAGACGTACACACGATGGGAGCACGACCTGTACGAGATGGGCTATCATGCTTCACCTCTTACCTTTTCATTTTACTTCCTTCCTAGCTCTTTTTTTCCCCCAGAAACTGTAGGTAGCTTATCCCTCACCATGGGGCGTCCAGTTTCTCCCTCGTGCTGTTCCTGGCTTGCAGCTCTTCACACCCTTATTCTTGGAGTTACATGACATGATGCCAACGGGCCAGCCGGGAGCTGCCTTTTCTGCAGGACCTCTGCCTCCATCTGTTGTACTTCTTAAACAGCACGGCTCTTCCTGCAGGGGCAAGTTCTCTGGAACTAGGAACCTGCTCAGTGTGCTGCAACAGGTTATTAATCGTGTACCAGGAGGAGTATTTATTGTTGATCCAGTTCAGTAAAGCATGTCTCAGTTTGCTGCTGGCTTCCCCAGRGCCCCGCGCGGCGTGTCGGGGAGGAGGCCGGGTCCTCCTGCGGGTTTGTGCTCGGGAGCCGCCTCACTCTTCCTCTTCACCCCTTTTGTAGCTCCAGGGTTGTGCATCCTGCAGGGCGGCAGTGTGTGGGATCTTGTCTGCCTGGACTTCCGTATTGAAAACAGCAAAGCCGTTCTTAAAAGAAAAAAGAAGGAAAAGGTGTGCAAGCCCACCAAAAACATGCATTCCTCCTGCAGCAGCCCAGTATGTGGTGACCTTATAAACACGTAGTTCAATCCTATAGGAAATAGAAGGA